TCGTCAAACAATAGGGAACAAGTGTGAATAAATTTTAACAGCAAAATTCATTAAATAGGTTTTGGAAAATTTGCTAATACACGAGGACGTGGGCTAGCTCAGGAACAGTGGTGGCGTTTTGTGAACACGGTAATGAACCATCTTTTACCACAGAACGTTTTTTAATCCATTATCACGAAAGACAAGGTCCAAAAATCCAACAATTTAAATTTATTACACCATCGTCAGTACACTGAAAATCGTGATAATACAAACTGTTTTCAATTCCTGTCATGTTATTCACTTCAACAATTTCATTTCTCTTATGTATTAGTTTTTGTCTTTGTGACCGATAGAAGCAGCTGTGATTGATGGACTATTTGGCACAAATGGGTGAGATGAGAAATGCATACTCCATTTTAAAGAAAACACGTGAGAGATCATACTGACGGGAGAATAAAATTATAACGCACTTCAATGAAATAGTGTATGGAGATGTAGAAAGGATTCATCTCGCCCGAAATAGTGTCCAATGGCCAGCTCTTGAGAACATTGTAATGACATTTCGAGTTCGATAAAAGTTGGAGGAGTTTTTGACCAATCAGTTTCTCAGGGAAATTTCTGATCTTTGAAGTCAGTTATAACTACAACAGAGTGTGAGAAATTGAGCATATTTCATTTAATTCTTGTCTGACATTTCGAGAACACCAACAATAGTGTAGGATCTCATTTTCGAATTAACTATCTGCATGTAACTCCCCATTAACTTGCATCATAATTTAGCCACGGTATATATTCACTTCGAGTTTCTACTGTGTCAAGGTAACTGCAAACTCTCCATTCACCGCGACATCCGACATTTTTACTCACGAGGTCAGGTTATACAGTGATCTGCACGTCGAAATTGTTGCATGGGAAACACCCATCGTTAGGTCTGGCTCTGCTTTTCATCTCTAATATTGACCCAGGGGCAGATGAGTAGTCACAACAAACTTTACGATGTAATCACGAACCGGATTTTTTATGATCGCAAAGAGTAGTTTGTTCTGTGTTGGCGCGTCATCTCATTTCATTTTTTTGAATTACGAAGAAATTTTGTGGTGTAGTGATCGTAGTGTTACGTCATATCCGGGAGGTCCGAGGTTACAATTCCAATCCCTGTATTTCTCTAACCCCCATTACCACCCTGGGATAGTAAGGCTATAACAACGGTAGTTGCAGCGCATTTATGTACATACATCTGTCTCTCGATTTACGAATTTTCGCTACAATGAATCATGTAAATTTATAACTTTTTTTACGAACATCACTTTCGCTGCAAGGAAAAACCAACATTCGTCCAAGGTCCGATCGTGTGCTTCGTGAGCAAAGAGCTGCCGTTGACACCGCCTTCTTGATTGATTAACGAATTAATTTTAACACGAGTAATAAAAGAAAATTGTAATGATTTCTTATAAATTATTTCATATGATTATTATACATACAGTAATAATTATTTCAACAAATACATTTGTTTATTATTCGTTTATGTGAGTGGTGATATTTCTACTCTAAATACAACTGCTATACAGTGTAACAATTTTATTTTAACACTTCAACAGTGCTTTACACAGTTAAATATCTAATAACTATCGCAAAAATTAACACTGTTATTATTTTCTGACTGTACATTATTTTAACAAATGTGGAAAGCAATACTGGATGATTTTTTGGGAAGTCGGGAACCAGTAATAATGTTTTACATTGAAATTAATGGGAGTTTCATTTTCAATTTACGAGTTTTCACTATACGAACAGTTTTCATCGAAATAATTACGTACGTACTCCTTAAAATACAACAGAAAAGCGCTCTCTGTACAAAAGCTGTAATGGAACGTGTGCACGGCCGCGTATTTTATGGGTATAAAAGCTACTGTGTCATGTAGACCTACAATACTGACAAGTTCAAGTCAGGTCTGGAGTTAGTTTTTTCAGTCGGCCACTTATTGTGTCCGCTGTATTCCTTCTTGTGTTGCAGACCGGTTAACATGCCGTCAGGTACTCAACATCATGGTCATCCTTGGCTTCATGTTCAACTACATGCTGAGGGTGAACCTCACAATCGCCATAGTCGCCATGGTGGTTCCAGGTAACAAGACAGACACCTCTCACAGCAACGCCACCCTCACAGAGTGTTCAGACTACTCTTTGCCCCCAGATAACACCACCCTTCTCTCCGGAACACCCGTTCAGCAGCCTGAGGTTTGTATTCACGAGGTCATGCTATAGGTATTAGTGTGAAACTTGCTCGAACAAATTGCCTGATCTGGAAGCAAGTGCTAGCTCAACGCATTTGGCGTCTTCCGTCGGTAGCCGCTGGACAAGAGAACCGGAGGACTGCAGACCCATCTCGACACGATGGAGGCGAACAGAAAAATTCTTGGTAGTCAACAGGGAACACAACTACGCACGAAGGGAGACGAAACGACACAATTCACTGGCAGCAGTTGATGACAGAGACGGCTTTCTTTATGAGAAGCTGGTACAGTGAGTGGCATTTGTACTCCGTTTGTGTGCGATGGATTTCCTGCTAACGGCCCAGATCGTTACAGGTTCCGTCATTAATTTGTGCTATGTAAATAAACAAGATGTCTCACATCGAACCATTGTGACGTCATAGGAAACCCTTCACACTATCGAACTACGCAGAGTCCTGAAGAATTCATGAAGTTGTAAGAACATCATCGCTCTCATTTCGTTGTTTCCAAAGTGGATTTTTAGTTCCCTTCGTTCCCCGTAGAGTGAGACATGGAACGATGTTACGATTTCGAAAACCAGAGTTCCTTTACACGGCAGTATAACAACTATGCAGAATAATGTTCTTTTCTGATTGGTTGGCTGGTTTCAGCACTTATCAAAGTGCAAATAAAGCACAAGGCTGCCTTTCAATGCCCACGAAACGTCCAATATTGACTGAACTGTTAGACCACTTCTTACATTTCTGCTAACAATTCTCGTACGGCTGACCGTCCTTATTTATCATATCAATTCTGCACGCAACAATAACTGGACGTGATAAAAACGAAACTCTACACTTCAAATGTAAGCCAGCAGATCCATTTGAACTTAAACCTTCATTTACATCTAGTCAACAAGAAGCAATAAACACATCTTTATAAACTACTCGTCAACAGTGTTCTTTGGATGATATAAAATGGACGGTAAAATGACATGGCAGCATTTTTATAAACATTAGGAGCATGCTCAGCTGAAGTTTGAAACCCGAAATATTACAGTAAGAAAATAATAAAATCTAACACAGTCAACACTACCCAGCATAGTAGGCGTCACGAAATTGCATGCTTCAAGGCCACAGCAAAATCATACATCGTTTCGTAGGGTTTTATGTTTTCACGGCGGTGAGTCTGAAGATATCTGTCTTCTGGGTTCTTGCGATGAGCTCTGATGATGGAGGAAACAAGGTCCTTTGAAATGTAGGTAAACTTCTACCAGAATACAAGGCGCAACAATGCAGAAGACAGCTGTCGGGATACGACCATGGTCGACGTGGCTCGATGTATGTGTGAATGACCGACTGATATAATCGTCCTTGCTTCCTGACTGTTACATGTTGGTACCTTGTCCAAGAGTTATGTTGTACGATGGTTTAACGCGCAGGGTGCTGATGAAACTGGTGTGGATCCGGCAGAAAGCTTGTATATTGCCAGCTTACTTTGTTCACAGCCCTGTTTGTGTGTAGTCTGTTTGTTTACTCCTGCCATTATGGGTCCAACATATAAACAATTAGTAAGCAAAGACAACAATCTTATCAAAAGTTAACAACGCTTCGGACCAAGCAACATACATACATCGACCTACACCAACCATGGTTTTATGTATGATGGGTCACTTCACCATAACATCTACGACGAATTCCAATATTATAAGATTGGTACAAGTGATCCAATTGGTGTCTCCTCTGCAACACATTTGGCGCATTTAAGCTTTGTCACAACGAATGGCTTCGGTTTTCCGACGTAGTGTTCGATGACATTCCGAGGTTCACTTGTGCCATATATCGCGACCCTAACAGGTTTACTAGGTGAAAAGTTATTTTTCACTGTGCACTTTTCTGAATCTTCCATTTTCTTCTGCCTCTCTTTCTCCTAGGTACAAATATTCTCCTCATCACTTTATTATCGAACAGCTACAATCTGATTCTTGTCCTTAGGTTTTCGCGACTGGATTTCAATGTGAAACGCCCAATCAACATATTCACTCTAAAGATGGCAATTGCAATGTTTGTCGAAAGGCTGGATAATTCTGAACATTCGGCTCATCCCCGAAAGCTAGAGTTTTACATCATCAATGTGTATTCTTTTTTGAGTTAGTACGAAACCTCAGCACCAAATTTCATCTAAACCATTCAGTATATTTGTATATTTATATATAAGGACGATATTAACCTCCAGACGTGTTTCGTATTAAGTGGAACACGCGTATGGAAACATTTCTGCAAGCACATTCTTGTTACAGAGATTCAAACACTTTTATAGTTTGTTTCTATTACTAACAGACTTTTGATGGCATGCGATTCGAATGGGATGAATACGAACAGAATATGATCCTGGGATGCTTCTTCTGGGGCTACGTGATGACAGAGCTACCAGGCGGGCGTCTGGCGGAAGTAATCGGCGGACATCGTGTGTTCGGCTACTCCATGCTGAGCGCCTCCGTGCTTACACTTCTTACGCCCCTCGCGGCCAAACTGGACTATTTGGCCGTCGTAATTCTGAGGGTTCTACTCGGACTCATGCTGGTAAGATACGAAATGATAAACAAAAGTTATGGCGCGTTCTCTCTGTAGATTTTAGGATTGAGTAGAAATTGTGCAGAGTCAGTGGGCTGGTCACTCACTGCTTCACGTACGACCAAGACCAAGAAACCTCCGAAAAGGAGGCGGCGAAAAACCCACAACAGGGTTGTAGTGCCGAGAACGCTCTTTCATAGGCAGCACAAAAGATGATCTTTTTACCTTTGCAAATGGCACCAGTGACGTCAGAGTTGTTAGGGACCAACGAACTTTGCGTAGGTGGGATGTCTGGCTGGGTGATAACTTCACGGGGGATTCCCACACTCAGATGTGTGGGAAATGTGTCAAGCTAGGGATTCCCGAGGCGACTCCCGCTTATATTTACGCTGCAGTGTTTCGTATGATTCCCAGAATAAACAACGATTATATCCTTTAATAACTTTGACCAACTTATTTAATGGAGACGCGTTGCATTTTCTTTGAGGTAAGAACTGAATTTTTGAAAATCAGGTATACAGATGAAATACTTGAAATGTTTAATCGCCTGTCTGTTGGTAAATCGGGGGAAATTCCTTGCGCACTCTGCTGACACCGGCCACGGACAAAGAATTGGACTGTATTAACCTGTTTATCCATTAGCTGCATAAACAGTATACTGTGACAGTTTCCAGAAGGCTTGGAGTGACAGTCTGATGTTTTGCTGCTTTATTTGTAGGGTGCCACATGGCCGTCAATTCACCCGATGACTGCGCGTTGGATTCCGCCAACAGAACGCAGCAAATTCATGTCCAATATGATGGGTAAGTGGACACGTGAGGATATTGGAAGTGTTTTTGTGGTCTGATCGTAATGGTCGCTCACGCGCACATATCTGTAATATGAAAATCAAAAAGATTGTAGGCTTCGTTTACTGCGCACAAGAATATGGACTGTGGTAATTGCATAATTGCTGATTTAACAACACTATTTAAAAACAAATTAGATCCATAAATTGACATGTCTTATGAAAGAAAATAAATCCTTGATCAAAGACCAATGCTCATATCCGATATGAATTATAATACTTTCTGCAGGCCACGGAGCTGTGATGGCTTTCACATTACAGTTTCTGTTATAAGATTCAGGTGCAATTTCCAAATCGCCTTTATATTCCAAAACTTTCACTTTCTAGTCTTTAAAACATCTGATAACATTATAACATATTCTTGATCAGGGCCCAATGAGAAATTACGAGTATTTACCAGGCCGGAACTAGATCATATTACGCTGACGTAAAATCGGTATGCTCCAAAAGATGTACCGCTACAGTCAGTTTTAAATATATGCAGAGAGTACTCACAAAATTAACGAGAACATTTTAGTGCTTCCAGTTCTTGATAAGGTTTTCAATATTATATGTAAGAGTTAACGTTACAATACGGAAGAATGTACCAAAATGTTCATCTGTCATCCATAATCTTAACTCTGATTTGTTCCGCTTATTTAAACAAAAAGTCTTCACAGATGTAATGAGCGAAAATATTGAAACATCCTGCAAATATTCGAGTTTCCTGCTTTTGGATTCTAATACCAGTCCAAGAAAATCGACACACACTTCATAAAATTGAATTCCTTTTAATTCTCCATCACTCCGACAGACCGTCTCCACGTCTGTAAACATCTACCACACTACACTGCGCAACAGTCCAGGAGATGGCCATCTTCAGTATCACTTGTTCATTGACGGAAGGCATTGGACGTTGTAATGTTCATTATTCTTGGTCTATTTTATTGCGAAATTAATCGCAGGTGTTCAGCAGACTACAGATTTGGTATCACTTCCCGAAGATATATTCGCCACATTCCTACTGTCATATCTAGTGACTCAAGCTGTCAGTTCAAGAGTTCATGTCAACAGTGTCTTTCCTAATTGCCTTTATACGCACGCTAATTGTTACGTGTGCTGAGCATCTTTGGAATGCGGAAATACGCACTACCACGCAGCACCAGTTGAATGACCCAGAAATTCTGTCTGTAAGACTTCGTGGTCATTTGCTCAGAAAAAACTCACTATTTCAAGAGAAACTAGTCACTGGAAAAGGAAGAGAATGACTGAACGACTCTCATGATAATTAAAATGGCTGACTAGCAAGGCTACTGAGTAACTATGTAATTTACTGGCTCAGTAGGCACGCAACCAAGTAAATACCTGACGGATTGTAACTCTGTAACTTCGTGATGTAACTGGTAACAGAATGACTGGCTGAATAGTAACCAGGTAGCTAATGACCGCCTAATTAATCAACAAATCAGGAGTTTATGGATGCCCCGAAAAGCAGGAAGTTTTTTGAAGATTTCTGTCTTCTGGGTTGTTGCGCTGTGTAGTCTGGTCGATGTTTACTAACGTTTCAGAGGTCATACTGCCTCCGTCATCAGGGCGATAGAAGATTCTGTCTTCTGGGTTGTTGCGCTGTGTAGTCTGGTCGATGTTTACTAACGTTTCAGAGGTCATACTGCCTCCGTCATCAGGGCGATAGAAGATTCTGTCTTCTGGGTTGTTGCGCTGTGTAGTCCGGTCGATGTTTACCAACGCGCCCTGATGACGGAGGCAGTATGACCTCTGAAACGTTGGTTAACATCGACCAGACTACACAGCGCAACAACCCAGAAGACAGAAATCTTCATACTCACCGCTGTGAAAATCTCAAATCTTACAGGAAGTTTCTTTTCCCGCTGAAAATTCACGGGGCACTCTAGACAAATAGCAAATTTAAATTTAACTTATTCCAGCGTCTTCCCTGGGGGCAGCCATCACCATGCCAGTGTGCGGGTTTCTGATCGCGTCCCTTGGATGGGAATCTGTATTCTATGTCACGGGAGTTGTGGGACTGGTCTGGAGCATCGTCTGGTTTTTCGTTGTGTTCGACTCCCCGGCACAGCACCCTCGAATCTCCGAGGAAGAACGTCAGTTCATAGAAAAAGCTATCGGAGACTCCACCAGCCAAGGCAAGGTATGGCGTGCGTGCTCATATGCTTTAACAAACAGTAACTTTGTATTTTGTATTTGTAGGTTTCATATGATTCTAGGTGTTAACAGCGATTATTTTCTAAAACAACTTTAACAAATTGAAATACTATGTTTTCTTTGCGGTACGGACTGATTTCTGAAATATTTTGATGAGCTTCGGCTTCAAATGGTTAATAATATTAAGCATTATGATATGAAAAGAATAGGGGTGATTAAATACTAATTGATATAATTATAATTGTACTTGTTTTTGTATGAGTGGTAGAACTTAGTTGCTCATGGATTGAGGGTATTTTAGAATAAGGCGTTGGACTTACGAGGGATGAAATAACAAGAGGCAGAAAAAATTTCACAGTGAGAATCTTCATAATTTTCATTCTTCAATAAATATTATATAGATGATCAAATGAAAAAATTACATTGGCGGGACATGTTGCATACATGTGACACTATAAGTGCGTCCAAAGTTTCTTGTCGGGAAACCTGAACTTGGAGACCTTGGGCACATGTGCAAAACTGAACATGAAGCTGTTAGAAGTGATTTTATGTTCCGACATCTCTAGATAATATTAGTGATAATTAAAAATAAGTAGACATAAATATTAAAATATTTTATGAGTTTACTGGCCTTAGAGCGTTAATGATCGGAAAATACCAACTTAGAATTTGAACTCCCTTAAACGAATGGAAAATTTGTAGTGTTATTATTGTCATCTTACGTCGTAATATGGGAAGATCGGGAAGTTATCTTTTTATAACTACTTATAGTTCAAAGTGTCACGACTGTCAAAGTCCACGGCTTGGGTCCATGGCATTTAAATGGTCAGTGTATCACAAGTTAGCGTAACTATCAATAACTTAGTGATACGTCACAATAGAAGCAAAACTACATGATTCAATGTTCGTACGTATTTCAGAGTGGATTGAACTGAGAACCATCTGCCTTTTTACAGCCATTCATAACACAGTTTTACAGCACATTACCTATTCTTTAATTTATATATATATGCGAGCAGCTGGATGGGCATAATGAAATTCATGATCGTTTAATTTTTCTCAGAATATGTCAGTATAATGACAACCAAACACCTGAAGACGGGTATACATGCAACTGTCGAAACATCGTGCATATCAAACAGATACACCTCAGAGAGTGGAATGTCCTACATAAGTGATAGACCGCTGTTATAAAATTTTGTCTGTCCTGAGATGTCGACCATTAGTTTGTATACTGATGCTGGGCGTTTTTAGCAACTGTATGAATGTCTGTCTTTATCCACAGGCGCACCGGGTCCCTTGGTTCAGTATCCTGACGTCGCCGTGTGTGTGGGCCATCATCATCACTCACGGAGCCAGTGTCTTCGGCTACTTCACGGTGGTGAACCAGCTTCCCACCTACATGAAACACATTCTGCACTTTAATATCAAAGCGGTACTGATTTCTCTCTTTTTCCTGTGTCTTTTCCGTCATCTTTGTTTCTTTTTACTTTCCTGACTTTCGTCTTCTCTTATGCCTTCCTCTCCTTTCTGCATTTATATCCTCCTTTTGAGTGTTACCATTTCACCCATGTCTCGCTCTTCTTTCTCTCTATTTCTTACTTCTGTGTTCTTCCGTCTTTATGTCCCTCTTTTTTTGCTCGCTTTCCTTACCTATTTCTAATCTAGTCTCGTTGTCTCGTTATCACCACTTCTGTTTCGTATTTAGAAGTCCCTGGGTTCAGACTTCTACCGGGAGGCCGATAATGCTGACAGTTTGTCATGGTTTCCCTCAGTCCCTCCATTCAAATGCCGGGATATTACCGTGACCTCTTGCTCCTGCATCCCTCCAAATTCATAATTTACAAATCACTGACCCCAGCAAACGATTGATCAAGAAATTACTCCAAGGTTCATTATCGTGTCCATAAAGCCCACCACTGGACTCTCGTACGCGGAATAAATCCAATTCACATTCTGACACCCTGCTTCTTGCACAAAGATCTGATTGTATCTGATCTTTTTGCAGAACGGGCTGCTGTCCAGCATGCCGTACCTCGGCAAATACGTGTTCGCGGTGTTGACCAGCGCGCTGGCAGACTACTTCCTGCGCACCAAGAAGTTTACTCGGACCACAACGAGGAAACTTTTCACCGCCGTCGGTAAGGACTGAATTAACGGTCGAACACAGCAAAGTGCTCTGTCAGACAGTTACCGCCCTCAATTTTCACCTGAAGATGGGAGCACAGCCAGCTTCCAAATCGTAGTGTATTGTATCCCCCGTATTAATTGGCTAGGCGACTAGATTGGCCCCAGTCTGTCTGGTTGTGGTGGTGAATAGGGCAAAATGTATGTCTCTGTATCTTCATTAGTTCTATCAATAACAGAATTTGTAACTCTATGTTAACAATAATTTTTAGAAGATTGCGACACAAAATGGAGAACACGAGTCAAATAAATGATACTGAAATACTGAAGTTAAACAAATACCCTATTAGTGATTTACTAGGTCTGAAGGAGTTAGAGAAATACAAGGGGAAACTTATTCAAAAATAGCTTTGTCAACAATCGATAACAGACGTTCCTCCATGTAAAGTTCATTTCGTCCACAAGATTTAAAGATAAAGTTACAGACAGAAGAAAGGAAAACAGATTTAATAAACATGAATATGAAAACATTATTAATCACTGTATTGTGTTGGCAGCTCTGGCAATACCTTCTGCGACAATGATCGGGCAGATGTTCCTGGGTTGCGACCGAGCTGCCTCTGTCGCATTCTTTACAGTGGCACTCACTATCAATGGCGCTGTGTGTGGGGGTTACCTTGGCAACGGGCTCGACATTGCCCCAAACTTCTCAGGTAACTGTTGCACCACGCTCTAATTTTAATCCCCTTCTTATAGCAATATCAACTTTCCAACCATTCAGAGTTTTCAGTTGATAGCAACACTAGTCCTATGTAACGCAAGTCTGCCAGATCGTGTTTCCTGTTTCATTAATTAAAAACCAAATTGGAAAGATGTAATCCGTACTGGAATACGCCGTTCTTTGGACCTTTGCATTCTGATTGTTCCTACCTGACATAAAAAATATACCATACTGGGGATACTGGGAACGACCCGTTCTTCAAGTGCCTGAGCACTGCGGGTCCCAACTTCTCGTTGGCTTGATCTATAGACATTCGGTAGGACTCCTTGGACGAGGGATCGGTCCGTCGCAAGGCCTCTACCTGTACACAGAAAAACGCGGACAAACATCCATGGCTTGAGTGGGATTCGAACCCACGGTCCACATAAGCATAGCAACATATCACAGATGTACACATTACAAGACTCATTCATTAATCCTTTAATATACAGTGGTAAATCTATGCACCACCTAATTTAACAGTCAGGAAATTTGCGTTTTGTATTTATGGGTTTTTATATGAATCATATTGAAAACAGGGATAATTTCCTCGAGTTTTTTTTGCGAATAGGAAGATAAGTAGGTAAGAGTTGATAAATAACTCTTGTTATGATGAAAACATATACTTACATTTTTATATAGTCTGCGATCTATTGCTACACTTATTCCAGAATTGGTTACGTCTTTACAATCTTGTTTGTAACTGTTGAGAGATGGTAAGAAATATTTCCATCAACTGATCTTTTTGAAACACCAAATAAATGCTTATGAGTGGAATATTTTTGTATGAAGCATGGAAACAATTAAAGAAAAACGATAGTAATCAGGTCTTGTTTTTGTGCAGGCACCATATTCGGAATGGCAAACACCCTGTCGTCTCTTGGTGGATTTCTGTCGTCTCTCATGGTTGGAATGCTCACACAAGACAATGTAAGTACTCACCCTAATCAGTTAAGTGTCTGATAAAAGAACCCAAAAGATTAATTCCACCACAACCAAAGCAAGCCATTGGACCACAGCTGCTTCCAGCCATCTTACATCCTCACAACCCAAGACCCATCTTAAAGTTAAACTTCCATCAATGTTATGGTGCTTGAAGCAAATTTTTTTTAAAGAGAGA